TAATACCCACGATACCAGCACATGACACCGCGTGATCGCCTAAAATATCCCCTGGAAAAACCCTCGAACATGCAGAGCATGGTGTCGAGGCAGAGAACAACGGAACACCCAATCGGTAGCGTAACACACATCGGTAAGTCTTTGCGTTCATAGTCTGACCCAATCCTGAAATAGGAACAGCCCGAAGCCAAGTAGACGTGTGATCTCCTTGCTGAGATTTCCACAATGCTGATAGACAAGGGGATAATGAAAAGGTGGATTCTGTAGAATCGGTGGATTATTATTATTATTATTATTATTATTATTATTATTATTATTATTATTATTATTATTATTATTATTATTATTATTATTATTATTATTATTATTATTATTATTAAGTGCATATACGATTTAGGTGAGTGAAAACATAAATAAATGTGTACCATATTTAACATATGTTAATAGTAGAAAGATAAAAGACAATGGTTTATTTATATTTATTTCACAAAAATTTTAACATAAAATGATTTAATGAGTAATAATGTATTATTTTACTTATAAAATTTTCTTAATCATATATCTTTTACCCTAATAATAATAATAATATACAAAGTACTACTTGAAAACAACCTCTTTTTTTTTTTAAATTCTTAAATTGTATGGAAAGATTTGAAAAATAATTTAACTCAATGAACTAACTGAAAGGAATGGTGTCCTTTGAACAAGTGTATTATTCTGATAGTGGGTTCAGAATTATTAGAAAGCTAATATATTCAGTAAGGTCAAGTGATCGGAATGCCTAGGTGGAGGCAGCTTCCGATCAGTAATATTAATGTATAATTAATATTACAGCTTAATCTTTACTGAACCCTTCGGGTCACACCCAAGCAATTAACAAACCAACTCGACGAATTAATTCGGAAGAAATTAATGAGTCGCCTGAGTATTAAATATTTAGACGTCGGAAATTCGAGTTTAGGGCGTCGAAACCGAGCGTCGGAAGTCGAGTCAAAAATAGTAAATGACGAGACGCGCAAATAATAATAAATCAACAATATTTCCCAAAATACCCCTAGCATCGGAATGTCCCGGGCATCTGAGTGCTAGGGGCATAATATATTAGCATAGGTGGCTAGCACGTGCACCAAGCCGAGCCTAGGCTGGCTGGTGCATGCTAGCGCACCAATGCTATCAGCCATGGGTAGCCACGACCGCAAGCAGCAGCAGCAGCAGCCCGCACAAGGTGTGCGTGGCTTGCTGGCCGCAAGCAGCAGCAGCCTGCACAAGCGTGCGTGGCTTGCTAGCTGCTCACAGCAGCCCGCATCACCTAGGTGCGAGTGGGTGGGCCGTGAGCTAAAGGTGAAGCAAGTAAAGGGAGGGTTTAAATGTGAGGGACATGTGGCACAAGGAGAGTATGGAGTGGGGAGCAAGTATGATCCCCTACTCTCCAAGTGGTCCTCACTTTCCTTTACATGTATTAGTGAAACTTGTAGATTTATTACTCCGTATTAGTTTGCTTATTTGTTTTAATTTAGCTTTAAAATAAATTGTGGAATTTCATGCTTCCACATTGATGGGATATAAATTCCCACTCTCCCTCTTCCCTATCAATACCCATCTTGGGTTTTTGGGAAGAGTGCTTGAGTAGGAGTTCAATAGAGCATTGCATTAGCAAAAACTCTTAAACTCACATAATACTTGGATTTTGGTCAGACCTCGCTAACCTCGAGGTAACGGACCTAAAAGTTGGTAGTTGTTTTTGCGGGTGGATCTCCGTCAGAGGCTATCGTATTTTCGGGGCTAAGCTTCTCAAGTAAGAGCCCAATTTATGGGGCGAAGCACGCGACAAAGGTAAATTTCCTATTTTGCCCTTTTGTATTTATTTATGCATTAGTGATATTATTTATTGCGAGCGTGATCCTTGGCTCGGGTTTTTTCCGCGGTGAGTGGGACTCACCAAACCCCAACACTAACAATCAATACCCACATACATATAATGTTTCTACACATTGTGATTCTAATATAAAATGTTTATAAAAGAAATTGTTATTAATTGTTATTATTATTATTCATTTTTTTGAAAGAATTGTTATAATTATTAGAAATTATTTATTAATAATATTATTAAATATTAATTCTTAATAGTTTGAATTATTAAATATTAATAATGATAACTATTATTATTAATTATTATTATGATTAATAAATATTAATTATTATTAAAATTATTTTTAATATTAATAATTATTATAATTATTCAAAATAATAAGTTATTATCATCAATACAATATTAATTATTATTATTGAATATTAATTATTATTATTGTTATTATTAATTATTATTTGAAAATAGAGTAGAGCAGAGCAGATTTGATTTGAGCAGAGCAAAGCAGAGCAGAACAGAGCATAGCATCTCTAAAGAACGGGGCCTTACTAATGTTTCTCGGTTGCGAAAAAACTAAAGAAATTTGGTTTATCCTTTAACCAAGAGTTGGTTGCGCATGTCTCTTATTACACCTGGAGGCTTGGCGGCTTGCTACCCACCCTAAACAACCTCAGAAAGAACAACTCCACTCTTAAAAAGTTATCTTTTTTTTTATTTTTTTTATTTTTTTATTATGGAGCATATGGAAAGAACGAAATTATATTATTTTTCAAAATGAAACATTAGATATTCCTCGAACTTTTCACAGATCGCAATTTGTGTTCAACGAGTGGCAATGTCTCACTCTCACATATATCTCTTGTTCCCACATCACTCGTGGGTCTAAATGTTTGGGCCAAGTCCGTTGTCCTAAGCTCAGCGACCTGAATTTACAAAAATACCCCTCCATGATCCAACCAATCATTAATCATTACAAAATACAGATTTGCCTTTATGGTCTGTTCACATTTACTGAACTGAGCTGAACTGAACTGGACTGAATTGAATTGATTGGAGATGAACTGAACTGGCTGAGCTGAAATGAATAATTTATGAGAGAGGGAAATTAGGAGCTGAACTGAACTGGACTGATTGGATTTGAAGTGAACGGAACTGAACTGAGCTGAACAGAACTGAACTGAAATTATCAAATTAAGTAAATGTGAACAGGCCCTTAATCTGACCAATTAAGTACAGCTTCTGCCACCTAAAAGTACAGCTATATATAAATAACACTCCAATCATTACTGATGGTAACTTTTTCCTAATTCTCTCTCCTTCTCTCTCTAAGTACACATTCTCTCAAGAGAATACCATTGCTAACTTAAGCATCAGAGGGGCTTTCCCGGTCACACCCCCGGGGGAGCTAACCTTCCCTGTTTTGCAGGTCGAGCTCTCAGACGTGCAAGCGGAGCCCTCAGACATCCCTTTGCTAGGCGGAGCTGAAGAAAATTTGTGGAATTTGAAGAAATAACTTTAGGACACCTTGATATAACTTATTACCCTAAGACTTCCAAGAGCATTCTATTTCCAGAAACACCTCTCTAAGCTCGGATCACCTATGCAGAGATCCCAAACCCAAACCCACCACCAACCCATCCATTCCATTCCGAGTGCAGCAGGTTTCCTGGAAAACACCCCCCTTAAACTCTTTCAAACTCAAGTTCGACGGTTCACTCTAAAACAACTCAGCAGCAGTAGGTGTCATCAGTAGAGACAACATTGGTTCCCTTATCGTAGCTCGCACCTTCAACCTTGGCAACACCACTGTTTTTTTTTTTTTTTTTTTTTTTTTTTTTTTTTTTTTTTTAGAAGCTACATCTTTTCAAAAAGCATCCTTCTTGCTCTTTAATACGGGATTCAACATTTAGTCATTGAAGGGGATAATTTCCTAGTAATCAACGTAGTAAAAGGAGTTTGGTCCGTTCCATGGCAAATCAATCACATCATCGTCGACATCCTTAATCTTCTTCAAAGGTTTCAGCAATTAAATATTAACCATGTTTACAGAAAAGCAAACAGAGCAGTAGATTGGATCGCGGATGTATGTCATCTTATTAGCGATAACATGGATATTACTCTTTGTACTTCCTCATGTTTGTACCCTATTATTTACTCTGATGCGTTAGGAATTTTCCTATTGAGGAGGGGTTCTTAATTCTTTCTTTTTTCTTACCTTTAAAAAAGAAATGAAAATGAAAGTTTTTTTATTAGGCCTAATCAAACCAAGCCTGGTACAATATTGGCTCGGCCCAAAAAATCAGATTTGGATAAATTTTTTGGCTTGGTCGAACTGATTTTCCCAAAAAAAGTTTGATAATCCAAAATAATCCTTTTTTAATTAAAATTTTAGCCCGTCTTGAAATTGAAATATCAAGTTTGGGCACGTCTTTTTTAGCCCGAAGGCTTAGCCTAAAATGGGCGTGGGTAAAGCCTGGCCTAGCACGCGATCACCTCTAGATTTTATAATACATAGGCCCTGTTCTCTTCACCTTAAAAAAATAATATTAAGTAAAAATAATTTCAATTCAGTAAAAATAAGTTCAGTTCAGTAAAATTAATTTCCGTTCAGTAAAAATAATTTCAGTTCAGTAAAATTCAGTTTTCTTAAAGAAGAATTATAATAGAAAATCAGTAAAAATAATTTAAATTCAGTAAAAATAATTATAATTCAGTAAAAATAAGTTCAGTTTAGTAAAAATAAGTTCAGTTTAGTAAAAATAATTTCAATTCAGCAAAATTAAGGTGAATCAAAAAGGGCCTTACAACACAAAATTTTAACAAGATGCAATTAGCAACATAAATTTACCTTACATATTTGATATGTTAAACGGTTGGAAATTATATATTATGATACGATAAATATTGGAAATTAAATGATATGATTTATTTGTAGTATATTTTTATTCTCAATAAATTGCTCTTAAACACTTCTAGTGACGTGGCAGTTGGGGGACAAGGCATTGGACCATCACATATTCACATAGAGAAAAATATCAACTAAGTCATAATTGTAATGAATGTAGTTAAGAATTTGGATACTATTATATAGGAGAATATGCGAATTGGATAATATCTTCCAATTAACGCGGATAACGCTATTTCTTAACAAATATATCAAACAACGAACATATTTCTTGACCTATAAGTATTTCCACCCTAGTTGTCTATATAAACGTTAAAAAAATAAGCTCATTAACCAATAAATTGTGCTCATAATAATTCTCTTAAAATTTATTTTTGTTTTATTGTTAGTCTAATTATACCGTCCTCAAAACTCAACTAATACACTATGGATCACCACCATCACCACGGTCACCACCATCATGAGAACGGGCACGCCGATGCCGAGAAGCAACTAAAGCATCACAACACCCTTGAGCGTATTGGTGAGACGGCTGCCGTTGCTGCTGCTGCTTATGCCTTGGTAAGCTTTTTATTTGTTTCCTTAATTATTAAGGGCTTGAGGATGCATTATTGTATATATTGAAATTTCACCAATTATTGGATTAATTCATTGTTGTATATTTTGGTTGATACAAAAATTGACATGAATGATTCAATTTATATCTTTTCTAATTAGTATATATATTAATTTTTTATTATATAGATTTATAGTATTTAAATTTAAGGGCATCTTCTTAGAGCAATTGAATTATTGTTACGATTATGTACATACATTGACTCAACAAATTCATCAAAGACGAAATAAATTAAATATTTTAATTCCATCGATTTATAATGATATATATGGGTGAATAATCTAGGGTTTAATTTGAAAAGTTTTTTTCTTTTTCCTAATTAAGGTTAATTGCTAAGTATACATCCACGTTTGATTCCTAATATGAGGTAATTGAAATATTATATATACACACACGTATAATTTGATGTTGTTAGTGCTGATTTGATTAGGTTTTATGAATAGTTATGGGATTATTCTATGAACGGAGTAATGTATTAGATTGATTTTCATGTAATTTGTATCTGAACTAAACTAATTAAAGCTGAACTAAATCGAAATTAAAGCTGAAGTGAACAGACCCTAAATATATAAAAAAAAGTATCGATTTTTAAGTGGAGTTATAACGATTTTTATGTGTGATATACAGTATGAGAGACATGAAGAAAAGAAAGACCCACAGCATGCTCACCAACACAGAGTGAATGAAGAGATTGCAGCCGCGGTTGCGGTTGGTGCTGCCGGTTTCGCTATGTACGAGCACCACAAAAAGAATGAAGCCCAACATGAGCTACATTCTTCCCAACACCATGGTCACCATCATGATCATCATAATCAACATCATGGTCATCATAACCTACACCATGGTCACCATCATGATCATCATAACCAACACCATGGTCATCATCATGATCATCACCACCATGGTCACCACCACCATCATTAAATTAGTTTGTCCATTATTTTGGGATTTTGCGCTACTTAAGTTTTCCTATAATTATATTAGACCTTTATGTTATGTAAGAGTGACTAGTGTTTGATATCTTTTATTTGTTTAGGGTTACAACTGATCGAGTCGAGTTTGAGCTTGATCTAGCTAAGGCTTTGATAAGATGGACAAATAAAATTATGTTTATTAAACTCAAAGATTATGTTTTCAAGATGGAGTAAATAAGTTACTAATTTTGAAGTTTTATTGCTATATAAAGAATTGGTTGACTGGCTGGTCAATTGACTCAGTTCATCATTTCTCGAGGATATCTCGTTAGTTTTTATGTAATTTCAAGCTTTTAGTTTAGCTTAACAAAGATCAATCATGAGATTAGAGTTACATTGTGTTGATTAACTGGGATTGGATTACTTATGAATCTTGTTAAGTTGTTATATTTGGTCACTCAAATTTTTAATTATTTTTTAATAATACAAACTTTGAAGGTATTCGCTTTATACAACTTAAAACCGATTAGTTACCTCATGAACAATATTAAACAACTTTACAAGATAAACAAAAAAAATTAATAGGACGGCTAAATAAGTTGTAGGTGAAATAACTTGTTTAAAGTGAATATTTCTCAAAGTTTGTATTATTTAGAAATAATTAAAAGATTGACTTGTTTTTAGCGGATCGCTTAAATTTTGTATTATTTTTGACAATTTTTCCTTATTTTTATAAAAGTTATTCAAATATATGTGTAAAAAAAAATCCAAACACCTTTTTTCTGGAACTTTCAAGTAGCCATTGAGTTTAAGTCAAATTAAACATGAACTTGTACGATTTTAACTCATTTACTAAAGAGTTTTACCACCCCCGTTTTGTGAGACATCAAATTTATATAACAAGCTTTTGCACGGAACTAAATACTTAAACGATGAAAGTTCTAGAAGATCTTGTGATGGTTGAGAGATAATGTCTTTCTGAATGTAGACTTGTGAATGACTTTGACAAATAATGTACTGGTATGAGCAAATACATCATGGCATGCATATTGCATTTTGAATGCACTATTATCAATTTATCATACAATCATACTAAAATATACTAGCACAATCGAATAACTTTGCGTGGCAGTTAACAGGCATACTTAGTTGAAGTTTTGAAATAATTACTTCTTAATAGCTGTGATCAAATTGTGTGTACACCATTTTCTCCTTTAAAACTCTCTTACACTAAAATATTCCATAACATAAGTAATTTTAATTGCAACACATTGCATCATTTTTGATTCTTTTGAACAATGTAAGGATGCATACAAATATTTTGTTCCTCGTTAGTTGCTTGAATTTTGGGACTTCACACAATATACTCCTTGCTTTTTAGTTTTCATATATCAGGATTTTAAGCTCCATGTTTAAAGGTGGATGTAGGTCATGCCTCATAACGAGTCCATGTGTTTTGGGGTAAGGTAGGCTTGAATCACGGTCCAATATACAATTTGTGTGTTGTGCCGTGCCAAAATTTTCAAATAGTCCGCCCTTGTATTGACCTATTTCATATGCCATGGTATCGGGCTTTTGTGCCTAAGTCATTTACATAATTTAGAATGTTTCGTCATTTTATGTCAAATCAAGTTGTACCATGCCTTGTTGTACTTCTCCTAGATAATAAAGATGGCTCAGACTTGACCTGCAATAACGTGTTGTACCTATATCATATCCGTGTATTGTGTTGGGTCGGCTTGGTCCAATGCTACTCTAGGACCGTTATGATTACTTGTGGAGTTGTGGGTTGTGGATTTTATAAAAATGTCTAGGTTCAATTAATCTTCCAAATTTATAAATTGCTGCAAAATATCTAAGATTTTTTATGCTATGCGAAAAATCTAAAGATTAAATTGAATGGCTGGCCCAGTAATAATTTGAATATTAAGATTGGAGAAATATTCAAGGAGTGGCCCTATGGTGTAGTAGTCTAACATGATTGCGTAACATAAACTTGAATTTCAAATTACAATTTGTGTAAAATTTGTGTCTCACTTTCTTCTGAGACTAGCAAGTTTTTACCAAATTTTACATAGATTATTTATTCATAAGGCCTATTTTTATAAAATTTTATAGTATGATGTATGGCTCACAAAATGATGTTGATTACTCTTATACAAGTACTCCTATTATTTAAGAGTAAAATGGAAATAGTAAATCTTTAATACTTGTATATGCATTATACACTAAACTTTTACTCTTGATAGAGTTTTTAAAGCTAGTACTCCCTTCATTCCTGAAAGTTTAACTCACTTTGCATTTGTAAGGTCTCCAATAAACATCTTTGATTATGAATATCATCGGCTACATATTAGTAAAAATTATAAAAAGTTAATATTTGAAAATTTTATAATAAGGGGAATCTAATAAGATCTCTCATGCTAATTTATTTTTATTGTATACTCCCTCCGTTTTTAAATACTTGCTCCATTTCTCCGTGCGCGGAATTTTAGGAGAAATTGGAGAAAGTAATTAAATTGGGAGGTAGTGGGGTAGTTGAGAAAATAAAAAATTGTAAAAAGCAAAAGTAGTGGAAGAATAGGAGGATAGAGAGTATTATGTTGGGTCCACTAAGTATGAGAAATGAATTAAAAATTGTAAAAGCTTTCCAAAAGAGAAAATGGAGCAAGTATTTAAAAACGGCCGGAAAAGAAAAGTGGAGCAAATATTTAAAAACGGAGGGAGTAAATCATAACACGTGGTCAAAGTATTTTATTTTGACAACATGAATAGTAAGTGAGTCGAATTTTCTGGAACAGAGTTAGTATTATTGATAGCCGCACAATATATTAAAATCAAAGACTTGAACTTGTGAACTTTAACTTCTCCAACCACTAGTTAATTAGCAATCTATAAATTGATTACATATTGTGACTTATTTAGTCGTAATTATTATTAGTCAAGTGATCCCTGTTGATATATGGTACATCAGTACATCTATATCTGCTCCCGAGTAGGGTATAGCTACACCCGCTTCTCGTCTCTAATAATTTTTATTTTCATGGTCACTGTCTCACAAAAAGGCTAAAATTGAATATACGTTTAGAGACATAGGGATTATATCATCTCATAGTTTGCATAAACTGAATAATTATTTCAACACATGAGAAAAGAAACTTTGAGACCTTAATTATATACTTCGTATTACTCTGCATAATAAGTAGCCAATACATATGATGTATTTTTGTATTAAGAAACATCAATCCTTAAGCAAACAACACCATATAAATAATTATTTTTGATAAAAGTAGTCACAATATAATTATTTTTGATAAAAGTAGTCACAATATGATGCAATCGTCCCAAATAAAACTAATTACATATATATACACATACAAAAACACACACTCAGTAGATGATCACTTATTTTCCATACATATTAATTATACAATCAAGTACGTACACATGAACTCTCAAGCCGTAGGAAAAGCAAGCAAAGCATCGTATAGAAATACGGTATAGTAACGGCCTTAGAAGAGGTGGTGCTTTCCATCATGTTCTTTCCTCTCTTCCTTGGCTTCCTTCTTCTCATGATGCTCATGGAAGGCATAGCCACCGGCCCCTACAGCCGCGGCAGCTGCGATTTCTTCCTCTAGTTTGTGCTTGTGTGCATGCTCTGGATCTTTCTTTGCCTTGTGCTTCTCATGCTACATATATACAACATTACGATTCCACAAGAATTAATTAGTTGACATAATCTAGGTTACATAGTACAAAAAAAAGTGTTTTACGTATTATATTATGACACTATAAATCAAAATTATATATTATGCTAGTATTGATGAAGAAATTATTAAATTATAGGGTATCAACTTACTTACATGATTTTCACTTATCATCCGATGTTTTTAACTTGATTTTATTTTGATTGTAATTTAAAGTTCAGTAGCTCCTACTTTTCTTACTCTTAAATTTTATCAAATCTCGTTTAAACTTAAATTTTTCAGAACAAATAAAAATAGAGTAAAAGAATCGCCTTAATAACCAATCATTAATTAATGTCACACACAAGAAGTCAAATTTAAAGTTGTGTGTGAGAGATTGATGAAACTCTATATTTAACCTAGACTCTCCTATATGACTATTTCACTTCACCTAGTAAATTAAGACTACACATAACATATAATAGCTAGTCATTGATATTAGATAATCAAAGTAAGGTGGCTTACAAGAGCAAAAGCACCGGCTGCCACGGTACCAAGCTCACCCAAGTGTTCTTTGTGCTTGTGTGACTTTTCTTCTTTCTCATAGTCTATGGGCTTGTTGTCATCTTCACCACTCTTGTGGTGGTTAAAGAGGCTGTGGTGGTGTTTCTCTTCCGACATGATTATATATGTATATATATATATTTTTTTTTTTTTTTTTAACTTGGTATGTTGTGAAAAACTACAAGTGTTTTTGATATTGTAATTCTATGTAACAATAACACTTGATGTTATGATATGAGATTATGTTGGTAGTTGGTACCACTATATATAATGAAATGTTTTCTATGATGGTTCCGTATTCGACATAAAAATTCACATTTTTGTTATCCTTTTTAGAATGGTGGGTCATGATTTATACAAGTATATACGAAGTATATAGTTTAATAGTTGCATTATTTTAGATTTTTGTAAGAGTGGGTCTACAAGAAATTTCATGTGATCTAATTCGGGTGCACATTTCACATCAAATAAAGTTAACCCATTCATTTTGTTGTTGAATGAAGTTGATGAAAGCAAGGGTTAAAAATGAAAAAGTTTAGGTAAATCTAGTAAAGTTAATAGAAGAATTTCACTTATTGAAACTTTTAATTAGTCTGCTAAATAATAATATGGATAAGACTTATTATGATGAATTTGTATATTACTTGGGGTAAAAACTAGTTATAACTATTTTAAATCCAAGGGGGAAAAAAAAGTTAATATATGACAATATTGTTTTAGGATCGGAATCAACAAATCACACATATATTAATCAGACAATTGTATTACAACCAAACAAAGTTTGTATACCCCTTATCCAAATACAAATAAGTTCAGGTTATATATGTAAGGTGAAATAAACTCATCCTAAAGTATTAGACATATGGCAACTAAATAAACTCTTGATTTTAAGTTTTTTCAAATCCAACAAGATATTGGAGTCCTGTTCTTTTGAACTGCTATGCTCTGCCGAACCTTACTCTACTCTACTAAATATGCTATGTTGAAATATGCTTTGCTCTACTCAAAAGAACAGGGCCTAATTAAAGCTTTGATGAAAAAGTTATTATCTCTCTAGTGCACCAATTTACCCCAATTTGATGAGTTCACACATGAGATGAAAACCTTAGTTCAACACGTGTCCACATCTTTTTAGCATACACTTGTCACAATTCAAATAAAAAGAAACTATGATCAACCCGCCTTAAGGCTATAATCACTTTCATTCACCTTAATTCAATTCCCATAACATAATATTTCAAATAAATTCATATCAGATCAGATAAAATCCGTGGAATAACAGTTTCACGAAGGACAAAACATCCCCTATCATAATCCACCGACGAAAATGAGGGCAAATAAGATAAAAAATGAGGACATTGAGGGGCAGTAATGTATGGTTTCGTAGGATGTACAAGGGGCCAGATGAGATGATATAATCTTGGAGTGGTTATCTTTTTCTAATTTGCTGTTGAAATTCAATAATGTTTCTTGGACACTTGGCCCAACTAATGAAAGTCATCAACATCACTAATTAAGTTGCTATCAATAAAGGATATCATTCAATACTTGTTATAATTTTGGTCGGTTTAATTGGCACCTTTTGTTTGAAACCATTTGTTTGTGATTTTTTGTTAGTTGAGAGAATTTTGGCACTTGTATGATTGAATCTAGCTCTCACTTACTTGTTTTATAAATCACATGTATTATGCTTAGAATTGTTTTCAATAATGCCTGATTAGCCCCTATATTATTGCATATTTATGGATTATTGTTAGCTCATCTGGAACCATTACAAGATTTGTTTTAAAACAATTAATGCCATAATTAAACAATTATTTACTACACTTTCAAAGAAGTTAGTGATAAATCCTTCTTAGACATAAAAATACAATAATTTTTTATTTTTAACTTGAAAAATTAATCCATTGTTTAGGTAACAGCTCATGAATAAACTCTTACCATACAAAAAATAGGAGTTAATACAAATTGAAGGTACTAACGTTTGCCAAAAGTTGTAGATAAGGTACTAACGTTTCAAACGTTGCAGATAGAGTACTCACCACATAATTGACCTTCTACAACAGGTTAACCAAACAAAAAAAAAAAAGAAAAATTAAAATTTTGACATTATTAAAGAGGGGACTAAAGTTTGCCATTGTTCAAGAAATCTATCAGTTAAATTATAGCTGGTACAACTCCAAAAAAACCGACTTCCATATATACTCATCTCCATAGCCATCTTCTCCACATTGCATCTATTGAAAAAAAAAAATCAGAAGAAGAAATCACAAAAATTACAGGAAATACAAAGTGGTCTTAATTCATGTCTTCTCCTTAATTCATGTACAACTAAACATGGTCTTAATTCATCCATATTTTCTGCCACAATAAGCACTCTCTTAATAAGCAAATCATAACATTTGATTCATGATAAAATAAGTGCATAATAATAACAACACAACAAAGAGAAGTGGCTTCATTCATACATGTACATTTGTTCCATTACAAAATGGCTATATAAGCCAAGCCATCCATTTCAACCTAAGCATTGTCATGGTAGTGACAAATCCCAAAAGATTATAAATGATTTGTCACATTAACAACAAAAACCTACTTAACCATGACAATGCACTCCTACAATTCACATCTTAAAACTTAAAAATAAAATAAAAATAAGAACAAGCTTAAATCTAGCAGCTCCTAACCCCAAAAACCATCTAGTTGCACATACCCCCCACCCAACCTAACAACAACAACCTACACATCCTCCTTGAAGAGCAGAGGGAAGCCATCAAAATAGACTGTCATGTCATTGTTGATCCAGGCATGAAAGTCACGACCATCATTGTAGATGAGGTCGTTGAGGATCCACTCGTCGACAGAGGCCCTGGGACCGAAAAAGGGTTGGAGTCGGGCTAGGTGGCGGGTCTTCCACCACAGACGCCATTTCCTGCAGACCTTCTTCACATTATCCCGACTACCCCAGTCCAGCTTGGAGAAGACATGGACCACAAGCAAATCGGGGTTGCTGAAAATTGGGTGAGCAACGGAAAGAGCGTCCATACCTAGGTAAATTAACGGAGTTAGACAAGGTATTTTCCATGGAAAAACCTACTCTGTTTCAATAAGCCAAAACCCTAGACATAATTCTCAAGAAATTTTACCCAACAATAACACAATTCAATTTTGATAATCACCCACAACAACAGAATTACGCAAACAAAATACAAGATCATGATAACTAAAACAAGAAAAATCACTTTCAAACAAAATTCGCCCAAATAAAAAAAAACAGAACAAGCATACAACACCATTAATGGCGAAATTAAGAAGGTGAAGACAAAAAAAGGGAATATACCTTGAGTAGATTGAAGCTCAGCCAACTTTGCTTTCTTGCAGGAAGATGGACAATCACACTCCCACATTGATGGCGATTTTCTTGAAGAGGAAGTACGAGTTTTTTTTTTTTTGGAATGAAATGCTCTGGTTTTTATCTGAAAATGGAAGTAATGAGGAAGCCAATGGGGTGAAAGAGTGAATAAAAAGGCTTTTCACCTTCCAAAAATCGCGCCATTGTCAGTGTAATGATGGCTTTTCACTTCCCAAAGTACAGCTGAGTGGACAATTAAGCTTTTTTTTTATTTTTTTTAAAGGGAAATAGGAAGTAACCGGTTATAAGCAATTGCAACCGGATTGTTAACCTTAAATAATGGGTTCAATACCTTCTTTGCAACTTTTGAAACGTTAGTACTCTCTTTGCAACTTTTGGCAAACGTTAGTACCTTCAATTTGTATTAACTCCAAAAAATAGTCTAGTATAGAGAAGCTAACACTTGTAAATATTTGAGAATACATTCATTCCATGATTCATTGATTCTATCTATGGTTGTCATTTGAAAAATAACATACATAATTTTAAAATTGAACAGTTCAGATTAAATGATTTTGGAATTATATATAAATGTTAATATTGATTAAAAATTAATTTAATTGTTTCCCGAAGAAAAAAAAATAATTTAATTTTCTAATTTTTAATTATTAATTAAACTGATTTGCTATTTGACGATAAAATATCACTCATAAATACAGTGTTAATGACCATCTTACCCTTATTTTAAATAGTTATTACTTCTTCGTCCATATTCACCTTCAACCCACAAAATCAGACCACCTCACACCATTGTCACCACGAGTAATACCACAACCACCACCATCGCCACCACTGCTACCACTGTCACAACCGTGCACCACCCCCTCCGTTTTCAGTGATTAGATATGAGAGGTAATGTTTGTGATTAGATGTCATATAAAGGCCTTTCTTAGGCTTGGTTGTGAATTTATGATTTGATATAAAAATTTAGTTGATTTTAATGGCTACTTGACTAGACAAACTAATAATAATTAAATCCAAAGAACTCCAACTATTTACGCAAGAATGTTCCAAAAATAACACTTTTTCCTCGATGTATATAATTTATGCTTGCCGATGTTTACTCTATCACTAATATCTTTAATCACCAATATGTAAAAACTATGAACATTGAATTTGAAAGTATGAAAGTATACCTTTTTCTTTTTCTTTTCTTTTCTTTTTATTTTTCTTTTTATTTTTTTTTTATTTTTTTTTATTTTTTATTTTTATCGAAAGTATGAAAGTATACATGGGTCAAATTTAATACTCCATATTTTTGAAAAGAGACCAGGAAAATATATAATAATACAAAAGATTTACTTTATACAATACATCTAATCCAAATTAAATTAAAAGGATTATTACAATTTGATGACCAATTAGCATTTTTTATTGTTTAATAACAAAAACTTGATGACGTCGTCTATGCATGTGAAGTTGCATGGCACCTTATCCAAAACGATCTTGTACGTACGTAATATAAATTCAACGCGTTAAGTATAATTAAGCTTGCAAAATTGTTGAATTTTCATCTTTGTCACACGTAATTATAAACTTAATTAAGAAGTAAATTAATATCACTTGTCTATATATAGATCATCAAACAAGCTTTAGATATAAGTATTTTCCATTTATAATCATAACCAAATTCGAGCAAATTCTTGATACCTTTCAACTTCTTATTAGCATCATGACTGGTCTCCACCGCCATCACAAGGAGGATGCAGCGCCTAAAGACCCGAAGAAGGCAATGAAGCACCATAAACACCTTGAACATCTCGGCAAAGCTACTACCATTGCTGCCGGTGCTTATGCCCTAGTAAGTGTTGCTATCTTTTGGCTAATTAAGCATACTTAATTACATTTAATATTTGTGATCAGTAATTTGGATTTTATAATTGTACACAACCATTTAATTGTACAATATATACCTAATTAATAAATAATTTCAATAAGCTTGTTATAATTTATTGAATATGTACGTTCATGGTTGATATAACAAAGAATTATATAAAATGTTCTATCCCAACTCTTAAAAATAATTATGCTTTAGTGATTTATAAGCCTTTTTAGTATTATTTCTACCTACATTGAACATTTTATTATTTTAAAATATTAACTATTTTTTTACCCATGAATATTTGCAGCATGAGAAACATCAGATCAAAAAAGATCCAGAGCATGCCCACAAGCACAAGGTAAAAGAAGGGGTTGCTGCCGCGGTTGCAGTTGGGGCTGCTGGATTTTCATTCCATGAACATCACAAGAAGAAGGAAGCCAAAAAAGAACTTAAGAAAAACAAGCACAAACACTAGTTTATAATGAGTCTCCATTATTAATTTTTTTCTTTCTATTTTACGATTATGTGTAGAATTTTTATCATAAATTGTTTTTTGTGATTGATTGTATGAACCATTGTTATCTTTGTATTTATTTTTTTTTTCATTTTATATATGATCATTTATTTAAATTCTTTTTGTACCATGTGATCAATTATTGTCTTATTTTTGTGACTATTATGGAGTATTCTCTATTTGTATCATCAACTTTAAAGTAGTATTCAATATATATTACCTATCAAATTATTACGTGTGTCAGCGCAACAACATATGTCATATGATAATTAAAAGAAGTAGGGTCTGTTCTTATTGACTGAACTCAGTTGAACTGAACTGAAATGAACTATACTGAATATTTTATAAGAGAAGGAAATTAGGAGTTGAACTGAACTGAACTGAGTTGAAGTGAACTGAATTGAACTGAACTGAACTGAACTCAATTTCAACGTATGAGAACAGGCCCGTAGTATAATAGTAATAGATTGTTTGTGCTCCTTTGATTTAATTGTAAGAGTCCAAGGGATACCTTAATAGGCTAGCAAGTTATTGGTGTTCGTGTTACTTGAGTAGTTGAGTATGTGTTGAATATGTTTAATTTAAGGTTTTAAACCTGTGTATAAATTTTAAGGGTATGACCTAAGAATATGAAATTTTATAAATTTAAGGGTATGAATTGTGGTTAGGAGATTTGTTGAAGGAGATACAACTAAAAACTAACGCATAAAGTATATTTTCTCCCTTTCGAATTTTATTTCGTCGTTGTTAGCTCTTTAAGTAATAATTGGCTTTAATTTTGTACCTCCAAAACTTCGATCAGAGATCATATAACGCAACTCTAATAGTCTTAAAAAGAGAATACAAAAAGATTTATACGAATCGTTTCAAAAAAAAAAAAAAAAATTATATAAAGTATATGCTTTGCTCTCATTCATGTGTTCTTAGAAGTACCATTATTAAATTAGCTAATTGCTAGGAATTTAATGCACATTTTATTTATTCACTCGGCTCGGTGACCTCAAAGTCACAGGGTGAAACTCTTACCAACTATACCAAGTGTAAAAGAACCATCTCAACCAAAAGCTTAAGCTGATTGTTGAAGCCCAAAAATTTATTTTATACTCTATCACTCCCCCTCACATGAAAAACCTTTTAAGTTTGAAATGTGGACGCAGTGCAGACCCTCCCATACCCAGCGCAAATTAATTCCACTTTAAAGGAGGGGTGGATGAGATTTGAACTCGTAACCTCTATGTCACGTTGATGGTTGAGGCCAAAAATATGTTTTACGCTCTATCACTAAGTACTATTTGTTTACTTCTATGCACATAATTGATAATCAATGAACAAAATATTAGAGACAATTGAAAAATCTGTCTCTAAATTAGATAGAGACCGAATTAAAATTCGTCTCTATAGCAACAAATAATAAGAAGAATGTATCTAAATAATATTATACGTAATAGCTAAATGTGACGACCTACATATAAATTAACAACAAACTGTAACACAACTTGTTTTCAATGGCAAAAATTAGAATTTGATGTTATTATAGTAACAAATAATAAGAAGAGTATCTCCAATGACAACAAAAGAAAATATCGTGTCATATTATTAACTGACACTGGTAAATGGCAACAAAAATATAGAATGTTATAATCTATCAACAATAGTTTAGACGATTTGATCTAATGACAAAGTATTCAAAAATTTACTGTTACTAATTCAATACAAATAAAATATCATTATTCATAGTTTGTTGCCATAAACTATGACAATAAGACAAAAACATGATGCTATCGAGTAATAACTAGTAAGACAATTTGTTTTAAACAACAACAAATAAAAAAAAATGTAGTCATTAATTATTAAAAACTTAAACCATAAAATGTTGCTTTTAATTAGGCATTGAGAAAAGCATGTCGTTGCCTTTTGAGTGTTTTGCAACGTTTTAAAAATCTATTGTCAAACTTAGTTGTTAAAAAGATTTATTTTTTTCGACAAACAACCTCAATTTTTTTAAAACTTTAATAGGAAATGGAACACACCATTTATATGATACACATGTACACTAACGTATGTTCATTTCAATTAATTTTAACTTATGAGGATTATTCTTATTTTTTTTTTATTATAAATCTAATTTATTGAATTTAATAATATTATCTTATTAGAACGTATCTTAACATAACCAAACTTAATTACTACTAGCTTATCAACTCTTATATTAGCGGTAAAATATATTTGGGTAATACTTATTAACATATAAATCCATGCTAATTTTTCTCTAAAACTCATTTGGGTTGGTAAATGCACGACGAAAGAAAATTAAAGACGTAAAGATTGATAGGTATATAAAGGCAAAATAAGTAATTACGAGTAATAAAGACATAAACACTTAATAATTAACATAAGAAAAATCATCAAATAAACCACGAACGACCTATGTATATATATAATTAAGATGGTGCTTAGATTAAATAGCCAGAAGATTCAAGAATTGAACCTCCTTCATTATTCTCGTAGTCATAATATTCTAGAGGTTCATAAACCATATATCTAATTGCTTTCACTGACAAGAATTCTTTCGAATGTTAAGTAGATAATTCTAGAGAAATCATGAGCAAGTACTAACCTTGCTTGATTTTTATGGAAACTTTTGCTAGAATATGCACAAATGCTCCCTAATGGGCCAATAAAATTTGGGCCACACCCAACAAATTTAATAAGGTCTGATGGATTCAGATAATGTTAAGTTCAAATAAGTGAAAAAACATGTTAAATAGAACACACTACCACACTTATTATGACTTAAACATATTAGATAATAAGTTGTTGCTTGGTCAACAATTGTAATTATTTTAAAAGTACTGTTAAAAGGCCGAGTGTAGTATCTATAGTTTATTAGTTTAGGGGTCTAACTTTTTGGTCTAAATTATTTTTATCTAATAAGGTTGAGGATGAGTTAAACTAAGGTTAACTCACCAAAACTTCTTACCTAGAACCAAAACACTAAGGTTAACTCAGTAGAACTTCTTACCTAGCTATACCCAAAACACAAAGTAATAAAAAGTTAAACCCCAAGCATAATATGTATCAAAAATTTAGACCCCAATCACAATATGTATTAAAAAATTGGACTCCATGTCATTTGTTATCTTAACTCAATGTTTAGGTGACACCAAATGATAGAATTCCCTCCATTATGTTTTATTCTACAAATTCACTTTCTCTAAAGTACTCTGCATAATATATATATATATATATATATATATATATATATATATATATATATATATATATATATATATATATATCTATATATATATGCTTACTCTGCATAATATCTTAAATGTTCGAAAATATAATTACTTTGCTGATACTACATCACAATAATAATTATGATCAGTAATAATTATAAAAATTTAATATTTTAAAAATATTTTTTGATGAATCTATTTGGCTTCATTGTCATGCAATAATAATATTTTATGATTTTAAAACCACTAAACCTTTTTTTTTTCCGACCACAAAAATATGTAGCTGGTAAAATCACAAAAAAATAAATAAGTTGTAGTACATATATAATTGGATAGAGAAGCCATAATATGTGACCAAATGCCTTGTACAATATAATATAATTTTTTTATGAGATTAGTTGTGGTGCACGCGCGCGCGCATCATTTTGTTTATCGGGATAAATAAATCAATTATGAATTTACAAGTTGAATGTTTTGACATTATAGAACAATCCTTTAATTTAGTGAATGTGTCAATTTTCTATTAAAAAACATTTTAAATGTAAGTATAACCAATGCAAAATGTGGCAGGCCCAAATTCAATATTATTGTCCATTAAATGAAGGAATTCTATTTTTTGGAGTATCTATTAACTACACAAACGTGCGAAATAAACTTTAAATCATTTGTACGGATTTTTTACAAATCAATATTCTTAAAAACTTATTTCTCATATACAAAGCTGAGAATTTTATATATCATATGTATTTCACTTTACCAAATATTTTGGACTTATTCTTCCAATAGCACAAATACATTAAGATTGTTGATAAAACATTGGATAAGTTTGTCATCGCGTCTCTTATTTTTCAATTGAGCATCAAACCGAGTATCATAAAAATGCACAACAACATTGGTTGATTTTGGAAACAAACCAAAGTGTGCTTTAGCAAAATCTAACGGAACATTCTGCATGAATTCAAACATTAATTAACAACATGTGAAGTTAAATTATGAAATCTGAAATAAGCGATCTCTTTTTAAATTTTTTTTTACAACAATTAAAAAGGTAAACAAATAGTAAAAAAATTTTCATACAATATAATAAAGTTTGTTTGTAATTTTCCTTTATAAGTATATTCAAGACCAATTAAATTCATGGAGTTCAATATTAACACTGAAAGGGTTATGCAACACATTAACAACCAAATTTAGTTCAATTATCAGATGAGGGTCACAATTTTAGGGCAATTTCATAGTTCCATCCCAACATCGAAGATTTCTGAAGCACATTAGCAACCAATTTAAAGTCAATGTAGTCATCAAATTAGGGTCATAAATTTAGGGCAATTTCATAGCTCAATCCCAAGATTAAAGAGTTTTGCAGCACATTAGCAACCAAATTACAGTCCATTCAATCATCAAATTAGGGTCATAAATACAGGGCAATTTCATAATTTCATCCCAACACTAAAGAATTGTGCAACACATTAGCAACCAAAGTTGGTTCAATCATCAAATTAGTGTCATATAATTTCAGGAAAAAGGTACAATTTCATACTTTCATCCAAATTAAAGGCAAATATCATTCAATGGCTTGAGCTTATATAAATGATATGAAGATATTGCTGGAATAATATGCAGCCTTGGTACTCACTGAAGATTTACGAAGGGAAGGAATTTTGATTTCCAACAGCAACCTCACAAGCAACAAAGTTTCATATCCTGTTTCAACCACAGGTCGCACCTGCAACAACATGTTATAAATCAGCATGTTTAAGAAAATGATGAAGAGATGAAAATGGTGAATTTGGTTGAGAATTTTATTACAATAAATATCAAGTATTCAAGAGACTTGATCCTCTAACAAAGCTAATTAAAGCTATATTAAACTTCTGAATTCTTCTTGTGATCCCCTCTTCCTACCCTCTATTTATATAGACATCCAGATTTTCACATTTCTTTTAGCTTACTCTCTGCCTTCTTCCTCAAGCACTTAGCTGATTCATTGTGCAATCCTAATTGTTACCTCCTATATCTAGTTCATTACACATTTACACAATATCATCAAAATTTATGCTGCAATTTCCACTTGATCAGCAAATAGCAATTTTATGTTGACAGCCAACTCACATACAAAAGCAAACCGAATATAGAGATTATCAAAAGATAATCAGATGAATGCATTGGATTTCATGATTCCTGTAGGCAACATCTCACATGAGACTGCCTCACAATAAGTAAATTTTTACAAGACGATTCAAGGTGGCAACTCATAATGTCTTGCACAGTGTAATAAAACGGTTAGCTCTTCATCTAACTGCAAGACTAAGCATAAAAATGGAAGTACAAACAGTATGCTAATTACCTAAACAATGGTAATGGCTTATAAAATTAGAAAATGATGGTAAGGCTTGAGGATTAGGAGAGACCATTTACCTATTCTAATATTGAAAAACAGATGCAGTCCAACTACGCGAAGAGAAACTGGAAGAAGTGTTTAGTCTCCTCTGAGGATTAGGAGAGACCATTAACCTATTCCAATATTGAAAAACAGATGCAGCCCAACTACGCGAAGAGAAGCTGGAAGAAGCGTTTAGTCTCCTCTGACTTTGAAGAAACTCACGAGCCTCAATATTCTTCTAGATCTCCTCCTCTTTCAGCCTAAAATCCAACATAGCAGAGCAAGTGAGCTCCTCATTAGCCATATAAAGAAGTAAAACTACAATAAGAGCTTAGAATGCAAAAATTCGAAAGCTTTGAAAAAAAAAGACAAAATCATAAATCGATGTATGCATGAAACAAAAAATCCATTGATCAAAGTAAACAACAGTAAAAATGGATCAATTAATCAAGCAAAGATGAAATACCCAAACAAAATCATGAAACTAACACTGCCTAAAGATCTGAGCTTGAAGCTCTACACAAACCCAGAAACAATGGAACACTCAAATTGTAATCACCTATACAAGTCGAATTTGAGAACGCCACAGTAATCCGAAACTAAAATTGAATAACAGAAGACATCTCTAAGCCTTCAAGATCTTGCTAAACACACAAAAAACTGTAAACTATAACAATGTTCTCACCCAAGCAAGAATGGCACAATTATCAAACAATAGAACAGGAAATTTCACTGAAGACAATCAAAGACTATTACCTTGCATTCAGATAAGGGAGCTTCCAAACAAAGAGAGTCTCATTAGCAGAAATAGTGGGCTCCATCTCTGAACCCTTGCTCTAATAGAAAAAAGTCATCTTCTCAGCAACTGCATTCTTTAAATAAGTGTTTAAGACATCTCCACGCAAAAGTTGACCCAATTACGTTTCTGCAACATGATGCAGAAGACATGAACCACTATTTCAATCAAAAAATAAAAATGTGAAAATCCCACATAATTAAACAATAAAAACATCCTATTTCTAACCCCAAACCCCTAATAAGCAACGTATCACCCCCATTCTACATTCTCCAAAATTTCCACCCAAATCATAATCAATAATTCATAGAAAATGCATAAATCTACACTAATTCAGCAATAAATCAACACACAACCAAAGTCAAAACACGTTTTAGTACACAAAACAATATCCAGATGACTTAGATCCCAACAATTCCAAAAAAAAAAAAAAAAAAAAAAATTAATCATATGTTTAATTCAGTAGCAACAATAACTTAAAATCTCAATTCTAGAATCACATCCAAATAAACACTAACCTAGTTCAAAATTCATTCAAAAACTATTTAAAAAAAATCCTAGAAGACAGTTTTTCAAAAATCAGGACCTGCCAAGGACACCATTAACTCAAGCTTGCGTCCAATGACTTGAAGATCTAGATTACTGACTTATACTCGAGCCATAATCCCTGAAACTTGATACTTGAAAAAAATTGACAAGAAATTAGGGGCTGACCCTATAAACGGCAACATTAATCCAAAATAAAACCCATAAATCCCTTTTAAAACCCTAGATTAAGAAAACTTCACTAACCAGAATTTGACATACCCAGAATGCAAGTGAGTAAATTGATCAGGAGGTCCCAACATTAATTTTTGATCAAATTGAACCCTAAAATATTCAACCCACAAATATTAATGAAATTGGTTTCCATTTTTTTCTCAAAATAGATCGAAGTAAATCTGATAATAATTCACAAAGATTAAATCCGATTTTAAAATTTTCTGGAATTGCGAGTACGAGTGAAGTTGAAGGTTAACGGCGATAGCAGAGGGCATAGCTGTGATCGGTGTTCGTTGGTTGTTGAGGTATGGTTTTGAATTACGCAATTTCGAGAAAATGCATGAGTATATACACATAAAGAATGGGTTTGTTTGAACAATGTGTGTGTTATGATTTTTGTTTGTCAGGATTATGTAGTACAATTGTAAGGAAATATAAAACGAAAAGTTGAAACCTTGTTAACCTGATGATGTGAATGATGTTTATGTCGTTGATTTTAGGGCTGTATATAAATTTGTTGGAATGTTGAAGGCTGAATTGTTGTTTTGTTTGTGTTGTGGGTGTTGAATTATTTGTAATTTGTTTGAAATTTATATGCTTTGTATTTGTTTGTGTTGAACAGAATGGCAGAGAGGATATTGAAAATAAGATATAGTGGTAATTGTGTAGATTTACCAATAGAGGATGTTGATCGATGTTTGTTGATTGATGTGTTGAATGATTTCTGTGATGCTTATAATAACAATGGGTTTGAGCTTCCAACCTATCCTAAATTAAGCTACTGTTATAATCAGAAAAGTCATGCTTTGGTAGATGACAAAACCTTGATGAAAATGTTTGAGGTGAAAGAGGGGAGAGAAATTGATGTATGGGTTGGTTGTTTAGAAAAACCAAATTTCATTTGGACTTTGGCTCAACAAGATAGGAACAAGAGTCCAAACCCATCCCCTATTCAACCTGAAATTCAGCCTGTTGTACCTAACCCAACTCCACAAAGTCAACCTTTATATGAAGCCCCACAACATAAACTTTCAGTTAGGAGAGCAAAAGGGTCAAGCCCAACATCACCAGTTTCACCAAGTGTAAGAAGAAGCCCAAGGTTTAGCCCAACACCACCTCTTTCTCCTAATTTAATGTGGAGCCCAATGTTAAGCCCTTCTGATTCTTCAAATCCAAATCAACTTACTCAGCCTACCCAGATTACTAGAGTCCAAAGACTATCCAGATTACTAGAAGAAATACCCCCCTCTCCACCACATATCAACCAGTCACTTCAACCTGACACAACCCAAACCATATCTCCTACTGTAAACAAGAAGAGGGGAGTGACAACAAGTGTTCCTAGAGCCAGAAAGATCCCAAAAACAACAGCCAAACTCAAGGGTATTTGGGTACCCCAACATAAAGCCACAGTTGAGGATGGTGCAGGTTCATCTAATAATGCTATTCCTAAGAGGAAGGTTAATAGGCAGAAACAGGACAACCAAGAGGATGAGAGTGAGAGTGAGTTGTCAGGCAGTGATAGTGAGAGTGAATTTCAACCAGGAAGTGATGAGGAAGACAGTGATGAGGGTGACTGTGATGATGTAATTGATGAAGATGTTAATGATTTGCAAAATTTAAACTATGTTGATGATGGTTGGCAACCTTTCCATTCAGTTGAATGGGATGGTGAAGATGAGGGTTATTTTAAGCAATTGTATATGAATGGGGAGGTGTATGATGACTATGATTTTGGGAAAATTAAGATGAGGAAATGGATGTTGTTTGTGAACAAGGACCACTTTAAGGATTCTCTTAGGGATTTCTGTATTCAAGAAGGGTTTTCAGTTGTTGTGAGAAAGTCAGACAACTTTAGGTACACAGCTGAGTGTGCAGATGAAAAGTGTGAGTGGAGGATTCATGCAAGTAAACTCCCAGATGGATTCACTTGGGCCATCAAATCCATAAGGCATCAGGGCATAGCTGTGACTTGAATCTGACACACAATCCTATGTGCACATGTGATTGGGCAGCACATAAGTTGCTTGAGGACATTAGGGCCTGTCCTGATATTAAAGCTAAGTCCCTAAATGCCTTACTTCAAGAAAGGTATGGGTTGATAAGATTCCAATTAGGATGATCCAAGAAGGGCATGATGAGTCCTATGCCCTTCTGCCTGCTTATTGTGAGCTGCTGAAACAGAGAAATCCTAACTCTGTTGCATTTTGTACTTGGGCAAGGCTGGAATCACCACAACCTACCCTACAGTTCAGATCTATTTTCATAAGTTTTGAAGCACAATTTAAGGGTTTGATCAATGGCTGCAGAGGGTTAATTGGTGTAGATGGCACCCACCTCAAGGGTAATTATGGAGGGGTGTTATTGGAAGCTGTGTGCCTAGATGGTAATAATGAAATCTTCCCAGTAGTTGTAGCTGTGGTGGACTATGAGAATAAATCAAGTTGGACTTGGTTTTTTCATCACTTGAAGCAAATTGTAACATCTACAGGAAGACAAGATTGGACCATAATTTCAGACAGACAAAAGGTATGAGTTTAATGTTTACAATTCTTACAAGTTATAAAAATATGTTTGCAGTGACTATCTAAATGAACTCTGTGATTGCTAGGGAGTTGATCCATCCTTGGATAAGGTATGGCCAAAAATCCAAAGAAGGTATTGTGCAAGACACTTGTGCAAAAACTTCAAGTTTGAATACCCTGGTTTGCTTATGCACAAGCTTTTTTGGGCAGTCACAAATGCAACCTCTATGTTCAGCTTCAAGAAAGCTTTACAAAAACTGCAAGAACATGCTGGATTAGGGGCCATTCAGTGGTTTAAGGACTTAGGACCCCTAGACAAGTGGACAAAGTGGAGGTTTGACCCCACTGTGAGGAGTGATGAAAACACAAACAACTTTGTTGAAAGCTTTAACAGCACCATAAGCACAGAGAGATGTATGCTTGTGTTAACTCTACTTGAAGGTTAGTAGGAAGAACATTAATTTCTGTTTTTGACATTTTGTTTATTACATAGCTAATAGTTGGGTGTTTGTTTGTTTGTATATGCAAAGGTGTAAGAAGAATTGCCATGGTTAGACATGCAACCAGACAACATATAGCTGAACAGTGGAAAGATGATGAAATATGTCCAAATATCACTGAGAGGCTAAGAGTGCTTACCAAAGAGTCCAGGACATTTACAGCCTTCAGTTCTGGCAGAGGTGAATTTGAAGTGCATGTTGGAAGGAGTATGATACCTGTGTCTATTAGCAACAAGGAATGTGCCTGTAGGAAGTGGCAAATATTAGGTATCCCTTGTAAGCATGGCATCAGGGCCATATTACATGATGGAAAACAACCAGCCTTGTATGTCAGTGACTGGTTTTTTGTTGCTAGATACAAGCAGGCATACAGTGGGAACATTTCAGCCATTCCTGACCCTGACTGCTAAAGAGAAGGGGAATAAACCTGCAACAGGGAAGAAAAGGACCAGGGAGCATTTCACTAATGAGAGAGAGGAAAATTCCATGATAGATCAATTAGTGACATTGTCTCAGCCGCCTCCTGCCCAAGCATATCACCTTAGCCAGTACAACCAACCTTCTGCAAGCCAGCCTGAGCAAAGTGCAAGGCACCCTGAGCTAACTGCAAGGCAACTAGGGACATTAGCATGGCATCCAGGAAGATCAAGCCAGCCAATGCCATCAACAAGGCAGCCAGGGACATCAACAAGGCAGCCAGGGACATCAACTCAGCCAGGGCCAGCATCAAGGCAGCCAAGTCCATTAGCAACCCAGGCAGGGTGTATACACCCATTTGTGACTCCCCAAAACCAAACCCAGTGATGAGTACCTTTCACGTCGAATCATAATCGAATGAAGTGAAAGTGTGGAAAGTCTAGTGTTGCGGATAGTTTTAATTTCTTTTTCTCTTCTTCTCTGTTTTTAAAAACTTATTTTAAGAAAACAGCCAATCCAGTTTTGTTGGTCCATGATATGGGTCCAATAATTGTGTAGTTAGATGGGGCTTGCAAAGAGCTTTCCAACGATATATTATAAGCCCAATTCCGATGAATATTGAGGAAGTTATGGCAAATTTACCAAACTAGGCCAGGTTTGAGCCTTATGTGCGGCCCGATGATCTAGAAGAGGACCTAATATGATTTATCATTCCTAATGCAATTAGGAATGGTTTTAGTCTTCTAGATTCTTCTAGAAAGTTCTTTTCATTCCTAATTCAATTAGCATTGATAAATTGACTTTTGACTTTTCAGTGTTTTAATTAAAAATCAAAAAGCATTTTCGAGGAAAATATACGATTTTATCCTCCAGTACGACAAACTTATCTGATTTTCGAAAATGCGTTAAAAACAGGCCTGGCGCCTAACTCCAGGCATTGGCGCCTTAAACCAAGCTTGGCGACTGGCGCCAACCATTGGCGCCTGGTGCTAGCCATTGGCGCCTGGTGCTAGCCATTGGCGCCTGGCGCCGCCAATTAGCCAGGGTTGGCGCCAGCTCTGTTTTGCGTGCGCCAAGTGCTCTGTTTTGATATTTTATCTTTTTGGCTGATTTTCTCTATAAATAACGTATTAAAAACTCCGTTTTCATTATTCTATTCTCACCAATTCTCACGAATTCTCATCAACAATCAGTTTTCATTCGCAATCATTAATTGTCTAATTCTCTCATTCATCATCTCTCTCTTTATTTTTTTCTAAACCTTGCTTTTTTCATACGAAATTCCGCATTCACAAGATCTAGAAATACCTAGCCATATTCGAAGTTGCCTTCGCCCTAGACGTGAAAGGTTTAATTTCTGAGGGTTTGGCCCCAAATCTCTCTTTCAATTATTTAATTTAATTGTTTGTTTATTATTTTTCTTGAAGTTACTAACGTGTGTATTTTGTTATTAGAAAGAGGTACAAAGCATCAAAGTAAGTACTTTAATGTTTTTATTGATATTATGATGTAGACATCATGTTTATATTGTTATTATGATATTCCTAGTATCATGTCTAGGGTAATTTTAATATTAAATATGATTGTTACGATGCCTTTTATTTTCTTCCTAATATTTATGATTTCTAGTATCATGTTAGGGTTAAAGATTTGATCTTTATTGCTTAGTGACATGCTAGGGTTTGTTATTAATCTTGTTAGTATCATGCCTAGGATCTTGCTATTTTTATTATGCTTTAACATGATTTATGATTATTTTTATTGTTTTGATTATGATTACAATTTTATAATTAATATTATTATGATTGACATGATTATTATTATTATAGTTAATATGATTATTGTTATTGTGATAATTATTGTTTTGATGATTATATTTTTATTATCATGATCATGTTTATTATTATGTTGCTTGATATTTATATTTATTGCTTGATCACACCTTTTATGCATGTTTAAAGGGAATTGATACTTGTAATCACGCTTAATAACATAATTGATAATCTTGTTAGGGTTAATATGATTATAATTCAAGTGATCGCCAATAATAGATTTATTTGTGCATTAATATTCAACCAACATAGATAAAAAGGTTTAGGATTAATCCTATTGATTGCATGTTAATTAAAAAGCGCACATGAATACGATTAGAATAAAGTAGAGGCCTATTATTAGGGCAGGTTCAATCTCTTTTAGGTTGGATTTGTACCTTCATCCCCGAACCCTTATTTGGTTCTAGACCTTATGGAGTTGACGATCTCTTGGATCGTTAAGGGGTGTAACCTTCAACTCGTGAACGGTTTACAAGTTCCTAAAAAACTTGTTGGCGAATCTTTTGCTCTATCTTCTTCCCTTTTGGACGTCCCCGTACTTTAGTGTATGATCACAGTGGGGTTCAAGCTAAGGGATTAACGCTTGAAGTTATTCCCTACAGTTTTTGGCGACTCCGCTGGGGAGGATTTCTATTTTAATTCCTGAATTTGTTTCGGCAATGATTTAGAATGAGTGGATGAGACTCGAAACGTTCTAAGTATTTCATGTGCGTAATTTTGATTAACATTATTGTCATATGCATAAAAAAGATCTCATTGGAAAGACCATCCGTAATGAGTTAAAAACATAGGATTTTACACGTAGGAAATTTGAGAAATATCTTTCACAACTAGGACTGAAATAACACCGCGCGAAACTGGAAAATTTTATCGAGCACAGAAAGCTGTTGAGGCATGTGGGAAGTAGCGTCAGGGGCCAAAGCATTGGCGCCAGCGTTTTAACCGTAGCGTCAGACGCCAGTATTGGCGCCAGGCGCTACAGTTAGAAGCTGGCGCCAGTCTCTGATTGCTGGCGCCAATTTCCCCCAATACCGAGCCAGAAATATGCGTTCTAATTTCGACCGGTTTTTCGTATTGTTTGCTCGATCCTACTTCCTGATTGAATTTTTTCTCACTTTTCTGAAACCCATAATGTGTTCTACATATGGACATAACCCTCTGGGAATTCATGCTCCATCTAACCGATTGAACGCTTCGTGCAACAAAGGGTACATCCGAGATTGTTGAATTCACCAAACCATGGAAGCGAGTTTTTTTTTTTCTAAAACTCGCGGTGTCCTAGGGGTGAAAGTAGTTTGGATAAAAACCGAAAACCGAACCAAACCGAACCGAATAAGCAATTCGGTTCGGTTTTGTTCGGTTTTCGGTTTGGATCGGTTTGAGAAAATGAAAACCGAATTATATCGGTTTGGATTCGGTTTTGGGATTTTAAAAACCGAAAACCGAACACCGAACCGAAATGTATAAGCCCCATTTCTCAGCCCATTTTCCTACGTATATATACTCAAACCCTAAATTTATAAGCCCATTTCTCAGCCGTTTCTGATCTCTTTCGGTCTTTCCCTCACTAAAAGTAAAACCCTAGATTTTCCCTCATCTCTCCCTCTCACCACCTCACTCAGTCACTCCGTTCGTCCACCACCACCAATCCACCACCTCACTACTTCCTGCTTTCCTACTTACCACCTGTGGCTGTGTTCCGTTCGAGTGTTCCAACGCCGGCCGCCGCTGACCACCTGTTCGAGTGTTCCGGTATGGCGGTATGCTTTAATTTCAATATTTCATATTTCACTTCTCTTTCGTTTCTGATCTCTTTCCCTCACTAAAACCCTAGATTTTCCCTCATCTCTCCCTCTCACCACCTGTGTTCCGTTCGAGTGTTCCAACGCCGGCCGCCGCTGACCACCTGTTCGAGTGTTCCGGTATGCTTTAATTTCAATATTTCATATTTCACTTCTCTTTTCCTGCTCGAATTGCATGTTTTCTTTGTTATTTTGAATTTCAGATTTCACTTGCACTTCTCTTTTCCTGCTCGAATTGCATGTTTTCTTTGTTATTTTTGAATTTCAGATTTCACTTGCACTTCTCTTTTCCTGCTCGAATTGCATGTTTTCTTTGTTATTTTCGAACTGGTGATAGATTGTTTTCTTTGAATAGTTATTATGCTCGAATTGTATTATGCTCGAATTGATGATATTCCTTCAGAGTTCAGAATATATGTTGTTCTATTATAGTATTATGCTCGAATTGCATGTTTTCTTTGTTATTTTCGAACTGGTGATAGATTGTTTTCTTTGAATAGTTATTATGCTCGAATTGTATTATGCTCGAATTGATGATATTCCTTCAGAGTTCAGAATATATGTTGTTCTATTATAGTATTATGCTCGAATTGCATGTTTTCTTTGTTATTTTCGAACTGGTGATAGATTGTTTTCTTTGAATAGTTATTATGCTCGAATTGTATTATGCTCGAATTGATGATATTCCTTCAGAGTTCAGAATATATGTTGTTCTATTATAGTATTATGCTCGAATTGCATGTTTTCTTTTTGATAGATTGATTGTTTTTCATAGATTTGCATAAAAATTGTTGGTTATTGAGTGAGTTCTTTTTTCTGTTTTAAATCAGATTATCAGAATGTCCACAAATATGGATAATGTTGAAGGGAATGTCCCTATTGAGGAGCATGAATCTGACAATGAAAAATCCAAACCCAAGAGGAAGAGAATGAAGGATCGTTCCGAGGTTTGGGAGCACTTTATCAAGGAAGAAACACACACTGGAATGGAAGCACGTTGCAAGTACTGTGGTATGAGATACAAGTGTGGTACAAAGAGAAATGGCACTAGTCCATTGTGGGCTCATATAAATAGATGTCGTAAGTACCCCTATAATACTCCTAAAGAATCAAAACAAAGTTTGTTGTCTTTCAAAAGCAATAAAATTGAAAGTGGTTGTACTAGTGGATTGTCTTATGTGAAATATGATCCAACTGTAATTAGAAAAGCTTTATCTGAGATGGTTATAGTTGATGAATTGCCTTTTAAGTTTGTTGAGGGAGTAGGCTTTAAAAAATTTTGTAATGTAATGGAGCCTAGATTTCATGTCCCTTCCAGAATTACTGTGGCTAAAGATTGTTATGAAACTTTTTTAACTC